ATATATATATATATATATATATATATATATATATATATATATATAAACGAGGCGACGTCGTCCTGCGTGGGGAACGAAAAGGCGACGTCGCCGAGGCGATGTGACGTCGGCTTTTAAATAAATAAAAAAAAATAATATAAATATATATATATATATATAAATATATATATATATACATAAATATATATGTATATAATATGTATACCGAACGGTATACCCGCTTGGTATACCGTTCCGAACCGAACCGAGCAAACGTCGAAACGCTGGTACGGTACGGTATTTCGAACCTTGACTAGTATACAGTTAACAGTATATTGTTAATATACTATTAGTAGTATACTATCGAGTCGATGTGAGAAGAGGTAGCAACGAGCAACGACAGCGGGAGCGAGAGCGGGAGAGGTGAGCGGCGACAATGGCAGCGGTGACGGTACTAGTGAGAAGCGGCAGCGGCAGCGGCAAGTGACAATAGTGGTAGCGGCAACGGTAACAGCGGCAACTGTAGCAATGAGCAGTGGTAGCGGGAGTAGGAGTGGCGACGGTGGCAGCAAGCAGCGGTAGCGATAGTAGGAGCTGGAGCCACGAGCGGCAATAGTGGCAGCAGTAGCAGCGGGAGCAGTGAGCAACAGGAGCAAGAGCGGCGGGCGGCGATAGTGGCAACGGTAGCAGCGAGCAGCGGGAGCGACAACGACGAGCAGGGTTAGGTTGGGAAGTCACGAGTGGAAGGCTGATATCGGTGCTTTAGTTGGTTCGATTGAACCAACTAAAACACCGGAGACCGAACCATACCTACAACGTTGGTTTGGTCGCTTGGTTTAACTCGGGCGCTCGCCCGTAGCGCTCGCCGCCTGGGCTCGGGTGAGCGCCCAGGCAGTGCCTCTTTGAAGCGCGCCACCTGGAAATGAAGTGAGGCGCTCGTGCGAGGCGAGTTCCAAGCGCCTATTGAAATCATTGGATTATGGTTGATTGGATAACACATTTTGTCGAACTTCTTACCTTAGGATAATTAGAAGCCTACTTTACAAGAAATCCTATTATGTGGTGTCTACTTAAGGGAAAGCATCTGCCCCTATATCCTATTCTGTGGTGTCTAGTTACTTGTGTTTAGATTTGATAATTGAATTTACATCATTTCTTTTGGCTGTTAGCAACTTTTCTTATGTCTCTTATCTTGCTTGATCATCTATTTTTTTCCTGCTCTATTTCCTAGCCACAACATCTTCCCTTCTTTCTGTTATGCAGGAAACTAATAGTTGAATCAACATCAGTTTCTCTTTCCTAAGCTTTTCATTTCCCACTATTGGTTGTATTCTATTTTACAACATCCTTTTTCAGCCTAACCGAAAGCTAACCAGCCTTAAGAAAGTGCTAACTTCTAGCAATGGCATGCATTGGGTAAGGTTTGTCTTCTTGGTTTTTTCCTCTCTACCACTAGTCATTGTAGCTTCACCAACACCAGGCTTCCTCTAGTTGTCAAGTGATCTTTTGAGAATTGAACTTAATTTGCATTGGCCCTAGTCAATTGCAGTTAGGTGAACAATGAAATCCTAGGAGCAAGATACTTTTGATGGTATGAAATCATTCATAACTAAAGGTAGATAATTTTGATGGTGTGAAGTCGTAACATGTTAAAGCATAAGATGAAAGGAAAGGGTGAAAGGTGGGAAGGATTGTTTTCATTAGTTCTAGGTCATATCCTCTCTACAGTGAACCAAATTAATTTTGACCATTAAAACTCCAACTTTATTTGCTCACCGTATATGATCTTTTTGTTATGTTCCTTCTAATCTTTAATAAGATTAAGAATCTTTTCTAAATTTTATTACTTTTTGTATGTTGATTCTGTGTTAACCCTTCAAAAGCCATTTGAATTACTTCTAGGGATTCCATAAATTTAGTCATCTACATATAAGTATTCTTGCAATTGCACATAATTCAACAGAATTTCCTTATGATGAGTAGTAGAATGATCAATCTCTATTCTAACTGGTGAAACTTCACATTATTAACTGCAACAATGGTTCTTGTAATTTTCCAAATAGACTTGCGCTTGTACAAAATTTTTGTTTAGGTCCCAGTATCATTAATTTCGTCATCATTATTAGTAATTGGGCTATTTGGAGCAATGACAAGGTTGATGTTGCTATCCATGGGGATTATGTTTTTCTAATATGATCTGGTCATTGTTATACTAACATAGCCATTAATCGCAATTCTTATTTTTGCTCAGTATGGGTCAGGACAACCCCTTTTGTAGTATACTACATTCTCCCACTTCACACACATTGCCAATGAATTTATTGAATTGTTTAAAATATATAGATTAGTAAGACTATTTGCAGTGTGGGCCATGATGTCATGGTAAGGTTGCTCCTTTTCGGTATAGCTGACTGGGGTTCAAATTGCCAAAGTACTGTCTGTTTGCAGTGTGACTGCACTCATTAATTCTCCTTGGACATCACTCCACATTGGCAAAGAGTCTTATGTAATGAACCACCCTTTTTTCACAAGAAGTGATAATTGGCCTAGGTTCTGTAACTTTTTAATAAATTTGCACCATTTTTCAGAAAATACAAAGATAAAGAAACCTGATTACATTAACACATCTTGGCACTACATCGGAGAAGATTGAACTAAAAACAAGCATCAAAATAACTTAAGGCTTCAGATTTTCCTTAGTTTATAGTACTAATGAAAATGAAATTGAAGATTGGAGAACTAAATGGTATTCTACCTTTCAATAATGGCAATACCTGACTGTCCTTATTTCAGTGTCCGCTAGTGGACTTATCTTTATGGATTAGCCTCTTATGACAGCTTTATTAACACTTTATGGTCATGGTTTTTTTGCTAGTTGGGATGTTTTTGAAGCTAAAAATTTGCTGCTTTTATAAAATTCATGATGGTTCTCTATGTCACGTCTTTTTAATTGTTCCAGGCTGCTCAATCACGATATGAACAATCAGTCAACTTACTTAAACAGCTCAATGTTGGCTCTTCATCACCAGAACCAAGGCTTAACGGATCATCATCATTCTCTGATGCCATAACTCACATCCCTGAGTCCACAGCTTGCAGTGGTACTCAAACTACTCCAGTAAGATACACCCAGGAAGGGCCTCCTTCAGACAGTAATGCTCCTGTTGCTGTAGAGGGGAACCAGAAGGCAGCTGCTGCTGCTGTTGTGGCACAGCTTGCGGCATCCACTTCCCCTGCCCAGATGCTGAGCTATGCCCTCTCCTCCCTAACTTCAGATGGTGCTGTTGACCCCTCAAATAAAAAAGACCATTCTGATAACAAAAGACTGAAAGTAGAGGACAATATGCCTTCTTACGTGCCACTGCTTCAGCCACCCTTGCCTCCATTCCCACATCCTGATTTGTTGAGTCGGCCTCCACTGCAGCTACCATCTCCTGTTACACATCCAAGCTCAACTGTGGAGCCGCCGCCACTACCACCTCCTTTCCCACCTGTACCACCACCACCTTCATCTGTGACACCCCAGTTCATGCAGATTGCTGCTGGACCTGCAACAGGCATGCCTTTTGGTTATGGTCCACCTCCTCCGCTCCCGAATTTCCCAATGCTTGGCATGCAACCCTATCCAAGTGCTTTAAATCCATACCATGGGTTTCAAGCATCCGAGGGCGTCAATCATTTAGGCCAACCGCCATTGCCAGCTGCACCACCACCATTGAGCCGGCAATAAGAGCTAGAGAAAAATGGTTAGGGAGCTTCAGATGTGCAGTTATTAAAAGAATCCCTCTTTATATATAAAGAGAGCTAGAGAAAATCGTTTGTCTTCTATATAAAGAGGGATTTCTAGTTGGCATGTCCTTGTAGTTTTGGCTATAAACATGTAATGCAGATACCTGCTTCATCACACTCGACATTAACCATGTCCGAAGATGAATCAGAGAATTTGATATTTGATGGTCATCTGAATGAGGCACAATGTTGTTTATTTGGAAACCTATTGATTCCGGAACGAATGTTTAGAAATCATAGTCTTTATTTTGTTTCTAGAGAACATCAGTAGCTTTGGCAGCCTGATGCTCCAAAATTTAGCAGGTAATTGATGTGGATGGTTTTAACTCTTCATCAAAGTGGGCTATATATATTCTATAGGCATTTATAATCAGGCAGGGAGCTTTATTGATGTAGAATGAAGCTCAACTGGATTGACGATAATGGAAGAGGCTTATATGTTCCCGAACAGGATTCGTGGGGGAAAATTTAGTAACACCTATCTGCCAAGCCATCAAATTATATAGTCCAACCATTGGCGCATCGCAGCGCATAATGCTACAATGTATGTTTATGAGCCTTTTACAAGCAGTTGTTCACTCTCTCTCTCTCTCTCTCTCTCTCTCTCTCTCTCTCTCTCTATATATATATATATATATATATATATAGAGAGAGAGAGAGAGAGAGAGAAAGAGAGAGAGAGTCAACATCTGCTTGTAAAATATTTACTTTTTGAGGTTTGACGTACAATAATTTTTATATGATTTGATACCTATGCCCTTATTATTCCCCTCTTTCCAATGGATCAACGGTATGTGGAGCCCTTGTAAGATTCTTAGCTTTTACATCAGATCTAACCTGATGTTCCCTATGAATCCTCAACCAGACTTGGAAGAACAGCAATAAAAACATTTGTTTTGCATCAAATCACCAGAAGAACGTCGATTTGATAAGGGATTATCGTGGACTTAGACCAAGGGGTTGGTGATGAGTCCCAAATATCGAACACCGGCTGAATGAGCTCTTAAATCCAGTCCTTCATTTACTAATCAGACCTTCCCAAGTAGGTCTCAAATGAGTAACTAGTTGGTTGCTGAATGAGAGATCGGCAAATTGTTGACGAGGATTCAATTTTGGGACCTGAAATCAAGTGATTTGTTAAAGATTTGATTCAATCACATTGTTGAAGAGGATTCAATTTTCAACGCCACGATTCTTTTGGTACATTGTTACATAGGAAGATTTTCGCACAGAGAAAAAAGAGAAGCAAGAAAAGATTTTTGGAACAAGCAATAAAATCCCTCTTTATAGAGAAGAGAGGATCAGTGATTCCAGCGTAAACGGTAAAAATCAATTACCGAAGGTAATTAATTAAAAGAATGGTAACGTAACCGATAAGCAAATAAGGAAATTAAACGAAATAAGTAAATGAAATATACATTTTTGGGTTTTCTTTTCTTAAGAAAACGTAACACGTTACGAGGTATGGACTATATAAAATTTGGTGCCTCGTGGTTTATGGATCGCACGACATTTATATTTCATTTCTGTTCTAGTTTGAGCTGCTGTGAGTAATCTCGAAGATATAAATCATCGATGATTCTGAAAAAGGCTCATCTTTTCCTGTTTTACCCTTCTGATTTCTCGTCGTAGCAGATTCGCTTCCAAGTATGGCATGCACAGAATCTAGCAACTTCGAAAAAGAAACTTGTCTTACTGTTGTCATGAAAACTTGACCTGAAAGTGTGATAATTTATTGCTGATTTTAATGTGGGATGGAGCTACAGCCTTGAATTCTATTCGGTAGAGTTTCATCTTTCTCCATCACCGTAGGCTGAGTGTCTGAAAGATCAAGCAAAATGATTTAAATGATTAGCGACCATTGTGTGTGATAGATACTATTCGTGGAGTTGCAATTTAACGTGGTGAGAAAAAAAAAAAGTATTAATAATGTAAGCATAAAATATGTAATATAATATATATAATATGGAAACAATCTATAATTGAAATCAAATAACATTAGATTGGTTTTAAAAGAAGAGAAAGAACTTAGATTGATGGGTTTAAGGAGATTGAGAGAGAAACTTTAATATCTTAACTACGTCCTCTATGAGATGAGATACCTTGTTTAACCTTTAAGTCTTATTTATTTATAGGCGAGAGCAGAGGATCTAGGATAAGTTATTAAGAGAGTTCCTTTCATCAAGGACATCCCCTAAGGAATCATACTGTAATATGAACTTCTTTTCTATTGGTCAATATCTGTCATCAAAATCAAATTAGTTCTATTATATATCTTATCCAATTATAAAGGGCCACATACATATAACATTCTCTCACTTACCATTAATTGATAAGATATAAAAGATATTTCAAATTAAAATAAATAAAATAAAATTTGTTTAAAAATAGTTTTATCTAATTGGATTTCGAAAAATTTTGAAAAGCATTTTATACATGGTCATAAATTTTAAAAATAAGTGAATAAGTCTAATAAACACAATAATACTACATTAGGTCCAACTATCAATGTGAGTTATAGTAGTTGTATATTATCAATGTCATACTTCATTCTATGTACTATAATATTGTTAGTCTTTTCTAATATAGTTCATAATGACCCATATAATTTGTCTTGTCAAGATAGTCCTATTATTACATTCAACTATAATATGTATAAACATAAATATAAACAATACACTAAAAATAAATAACTTTAATTATGCAAAAAAATATCAATAATATCATCCACCTAAACATGCATCACCATATCTTTTATGGCTTTCTCACAAGCCCCATTCTAAGAACATGTTCTTTAAATTTTTTACATTGTAAAACTTTGGTAAATTGACCAGTAATCATCATAGTGGTGCTCAGGTTCTCAATTGACACTTACTATTTCTAGACTCTTTCTCTAAATTTTATGGCT